TAGGTACAGTGCCGTGCAAATGTAACCCCCCCCAAAGCTCTCAACAATTTTTTCTTTGTGCTTACCTTGTTCATAACATTTAAGCTATACCAGAAAGAATCTAAGGAAGGTGTAATTGTAATTATCTATTTATTTTCTTTTAAAGAAATAGGTAGACAATGGAAAACTGTTACATGCATTTATCTTCTACACCATCTTGTTCAAGTGATTAGTATCTGCATTGCTCTTATTTTAGTCAATATGCTACAGTGAATACCTAAAAATATTTTTTCATTCCTCTGCTGTCACACTGAGATTTAAAAATTATAGTGAAGAGGCTGAGAATAAATTAACTGTCAAGAATGTTACTTTGTCTGAAGTTTACCTCAGCATTTCAGTTAAAGAGATTATCTATTTTAGCCAAATGTTTTTACAAGGTTGAAGGAAATCATTAATTCATATTCATTCATTTATACACAATTTATTTTTTAAAAAAATCAATATTACTATACTAATATTATAATATATTTATAACATATCCTGTCATATGCATATTAGTATCTTAGGAAGTACCTATACAATAAAAAGCTGGTTTTTATAAAGAGAGGTTTTACAATGGTCTTCGGCAAGATATTAAAAGATAAATAAGCCATTTGACCCTGTGATGTCAAAATATTATACACTTCAATTTGTATTTCCTAACCCAATCCAACTGTCCTGATCACTGACTAATATTACTTATATTATGAAGATTCCAGACAGTTATAAGTTAACTACATTTCAAATGTTAAAGGAATATGAAGTACAAGCCAACAAATGAGAAACCTGTTAAGAATGAAGGAACAAATTCATAATCTCAGCCCAAACTGAAGATGGCAATCCATGCAATATGCTTTAGTTTAAGCAAGTATATCTGCACATTTTTTCCTATTGCTTTTGAAAGACAGTGATGGTAGAGGATGAAATCATATATTGGGGACGGAATGATTTTTCTTACAATGCTTCAACTGAATCATATGCAAGCCTGTATGTCACTCCAAATGTCCCAACGTAAGCATTATTTGCCAATATATTTTGGGCATGAGTTTTATGTTACTATGTAGATTTATATTTTATAACAAGCTAATAGGGGTAGTAGGAAGGAAACTCTCATTCAAATGAATCTGCACACATTATTTGATATACCTGAAAGGAAGATCTTTGGGTAAGTTCTGCCCACCAAGAGGTTAGGGAAGTGGGAATTTGGGGCCAGGCCTCTTTGGTGGCTACCATTACCCTGTATCAACTTCTTTCTGAGGCCTGGTTAGACCCCATCTTGGGCCTCTTTAAACTCTTCTAAAAGCAACTCCTCCCCTGAGCACTCAAGGCTTAATGTTGATGGCTGTGGTGTATTTTTTTCTTACAAAGTATGAATTGTTGAGCATATTATAAAAGTTCTATTGATTTTTTTTCAACATGTTATTGATTTTTTTTTTAGTGTGAAGCATCCAAAGTTTTTTTTAAAGCATGGGATAATATACAAATGATAATAATTTTTTCAGGCTGAACTTATTTTATTTATTAGATTTATAGCTGCCCATTTCATACTTGTGGTTCTTATGTTAATTTACCATTTATCTAATATTTTCTCTTCCTTCTCTCTCATTCACCTTTTCCTCCCCTTTCTTCATTATCAAACTTCAATTCTTTGCATCTATATGACATGAAATGTCTTTTTCTTTTGTCTTTTTCTGATTCTTCAGATCAGTCATACTAAAAATGGTAACTTTTAAATAAATACATTTCTGTATAAAACATCTGATTATATAGTTAAATGTTTTATTTCTAATATTTTACCAAATTTAGACATTCATTAGAGATTTATCATCTCCCTATAAAATATACTATTATGGTTTAATTGTGACTTTCTTATTTATGTTAAGTGTATAGTAATGTCTTATTTATTAATAAATGAGTTAATTTGTATTCAGTTGTAATGCTGGTTCATTATAATCTTAATTTCAAAGTATTATGGCAGGTTAATTTCATTTGGATTGTTTTTTTCACTCTCTGACTAGTTGTATTTTGTTTCTTTAAAAGTCTTGTGTTTATTTTTATTTTAAAACTTTTATATTTCTCCATTTCCTGATTTTTAAAAGTATATACTTAATCATCCCTGGGGAACCCAGTGGATTTATTGATTCTTTTGATCTTGCCTATATCACATTTCTAAAAAGAAGTGGTAAGGACAATTCCTTCCTAGAAATCTTTTTTCTGCCCTAAAAAGAGATAAATAGATGAAGAAAATGTATTCTGCATATACCCAGAAGCCTTTGGGTTAAGTGCTATGCTTTTGAGGGCTATGCTTTTGAAATGAAGATAGATTTGTGACTTGAATCCTACCTGTAATAATGAGGTTTTGCAATTAATCACAAAAATACAGGGCTGACTGAATAAGTTTCCTTTAATAAGTCTACCAAAAAATTGAAATAGCCCTGGATACATGACCAACAATGAGAATAATTTTCCTTTTGTCCAAAGGTTTTTCTAGAAGACTTCTCTCCTCCCTTGGTCTCTCGCCTCTCTCATAAAGAATTCAGCGAAACCTTTAACATTATCAGTTTTGAAATGTTGCGAATTTTCAGTGGTATTATACTATTTAATAATTAATACAAGGGATGAAAATTGGTATTGCCTACACACGCCTACTCCACAATAAAATAGGTTTAAGATGAAGTCGGAGATGTTTCTGCTATGACAGCTATTACATTCAATATGTTAATTTTCATTGCAGACAGCTGCATTTAAGTATAATCTCTAACCCATGAATATATAGAATATGCTTTTCCATCCACAGGGCAGATCATGGTTTAGTTAGCATTTCAGAGTTAATTCATATGAGGAATTAGCTCTCTCAGAAGGTAACAAAATGACAAAGTACATTTCTAATAATTCTACCTAGCACTTATTTTTCTACACAGGCCATCATGTGGAGAGTCAGTCCAGCCACCATTCTCTAACTATATGAATTTTAAGGTGGGCCATACAAATGTGGGCTTTGTATTCATTCAATTCCAGCCCCAAATTAGTCTGTAGATCAGGAATCAACACTTTCTTGACCATTGTACTCCACTGTATATTGTAATAAGTTTAACAATGTCCAATTCAGTAATGAACATCTTAAGAGATACTGTTAAACAATGAAGTATAATAAAGGACACATTTCTGTAGGTAAATAATTAAGTGGAAAGAAAATGAAATAATGACAATGGTTGTTAGTTTGGTAGTAGCAGCCACAATAATTTGTTGTTCTATCATCTATCCCCTAAATAAACGTGTTTTTCAATTAAGGTATGGATAAAAAAACCTGAAAGCTAACAACAACATCATCATCATCATAAACCCAAGCACTTTCAGGTTCGCTTTGGCTCAGTATTATTTTTGTTATATGATCTTTCAATATCTACACCATTTCCTTTGCTGAAACCTCCTGGAAATGTATTTATTTATTAATTAGCTATATATACCACCTTTCCTTCTCTAGCTCATGGTGGCATATACAGCACTCTTCCCTACCATTTTTTATTCACAACAAGTCTGCAAGGTATACTGGAATAAAAGGGAGTGCCTATTTTAGTTATCCAGTGACCTTCTGTGGAAGCCAATGGATTTGAACCAACCTTGTACAAGAAGAATATCAAATTAAGGCCAAGTAGGAGGAGGAAGATTGTGTCATATGTTTATTCTGGATATGCTAAAGATTCATTGAAGATATGCCAAGCAAGACTGCTATTCCAGTTATCCTCATTCTAGCAACATTACTGTATAGGAAGAGACATTTCTACCTGGAATTCAGAGCCTTAGTGCCTTCTATTCATTTCTTTCCTTCCCAAATCAAGAGAGAGCTCCTTAAAGTGATGTGATTTATTGAGAAAGAGATAGGGGCAGTATAATTCTAAAATGGTAAAATTGCAAAAAGGAAAATGGCTGATCAGTATTTCTGCAGCTATTGCTTTTCAGAGCAATAATCCAGCTGCAGCTTTTGGTTGCTTCCTCTAGCACTCTCTTTCCATGTATCTTTTTCCAAACCAAGCAAGATGTCAAAGGTTTGAAAGAGGCATAGGAATAATTGTGTCTTTTAGCATACATTCTACATGGAATCTTGCTCCTGATACAGCCATCTCAAGGGATATAAGTGATCCTCTGCCATGTGCAACCAGCCAGGATCCAGAAGGAATAGCTCACAATCACTCTCATTTTATGTACTTCAGCTTATGCCATATATGTCATTCACATATATGAATATACATACATACATACACATATATAAATACACACACACACACACACACACACACACACATATATATATATATATATATATTTTCTCAACATCTACTTCTAATACTGTATTATACAGAACCAACAGCCAAGCATTTCGCCTGCTAAGGAAAGATTGAGAGATGAGAATACAGCTTTATCCTTTTCTGTAGAAGGATAACATGAATTATCATATATGAAGGTAAAAATATGTAATTTTCAGATTTAAAATTTCTATACATTCTGCAATAGAAAACAATAAAAACCCAACCCCAAATAGTCCATTGTTGCAAGAGAAAAAGAGAAGAATTAATTTCAAGAAGCAAATACACCAACATAAGTGGGGGGAATTTTAGAAACAAATAGAGAAAATCACACATCCCTCTCAGACCTCTGATATTGAGAAGGGTGGGGTCCTGAAGCCAATTTATACAAAACAGAAAGAGAACCTGTACTCTGCTTGCAAAACTGCCAGCATAAGCTGTACAATCCAGTTTGAAAGGTGAGGGGTGGGGGATGGAGGGATCACAGTGAGAGGTAATCATAGCAGGATGGATATTTCATATTTTAAGCTCCTCACCCCTCCACCAAGTTTTCCTAAGATTATTTTGGGAGAGATAAATGCCAAAATCATTATCCTCATTCTTTGCATTATTCACAATGGCAGTTACTACCCCAATCTAGGAAACACAGTGATTCACAAGGAGAGATTGATTACTCACATGCATTGGTGACAGCAAAACTGTTGGCCACCTCCAGATTGTCAATGTGCGGTGACAGTCGGAATTCTGAAGTGGAAAACTGAACCATTCCTACACGAAATGCACTGTATTCCTGATCTGCTCCTCTGGGGAAGAGCCCTCCTGTTGGATGACAGACAAACATAAAAACAGAACAAGAGACAGAAAGAGGGAGAAAGAGAGAGAGAGAGAGGACATCAGTGCTGCAGGCTGAGCTGTAGGAGTATCAGCTCTGCTTGGGGAAATAGCTTTGGAACTTGCCTCAGATTAGAATGGCCTCCAATCTCACTGATGTTAAGGACAATCTGTCCCAACCTACAGTAGTAGTCTTATCTTGCTGCTTTTCAGCAACTGCAAACCCTGATTAAGTTTGGTGGACAGGCTGAGGGTGGGGGCGGGGGTGGTGGCCACTCTGAATATCCTTCATCAGTTTAGGATATGCATCCTTCACTGATCCAGACCCCTTCTGATTTTTTTTTAAATCCATTCAGGAGATCTAATTTCATGATTTCAGGGGGAAACATTGTCTGTACAACTGGTTAGCAACGGGGATTCTCTTTTAAAAGCCATTTGTGGAAGTAAACTGTTTTTTTAATGGGAAAAAAGTACAGCTGGGAAGCAGTCATTTGAATTGCGAAATAGGCTATTGGAAACTGGTCTCTAAAGAAGGCACTCTCAGCATCCATTTCCTTCAGCAGAGAAGCACAATTTAAGTTTACATGCTGTGAATTGGGGTTCAATCAAATCTTCTTTAGAGGAAGAAAAAAACCCCGCAGATTTTGGGAGATGAAGACAAAAGGTTTGCTCTGAAGAGGACACTCACCTATTTGTATGCCGTTTGAGTAGACCTCCCAGATGAATCCCCAAACCAAAAGAGCCAGGAAAAGAGAAATCTGCCGTTTTTTTTGCATTGCCATGAAAAGTAGAGCATCCACCAAGCCAGAAATATTCCTCTGCTGCTGCTGCTGCCTCCTCCTCCTCCTCCTCGTCTTCCTGTTCCACTACTACCGCCTCCTTCTTCCCTGACCGTTTCTCGCTCAGCAAATTAGATCCTCTGCATATTGAGCAAGCAGCCGAAGGACTGGAGCTGGAGAGGATCTCCCAGCAGAAGCAAAAGGATCTGGGTGCCGGGGAGGGGGGAGCTTTGGCCCGCTGCTGCAGTGCTCTTGGGGCTTGCCCAAAGAAGAAAGAGGCAGCTTGAATGCAGTTTTTCAATGCTGCTGTTATGGTCCCGACGCTTCGGTACATCCAGCTCCTTCGTAAGCTATCACACACATTCACCCCTCTCTGTCACACACACACACACACACACTCACGCGCGCACACACCACACATGCACACACACGCACGCACTCCCGGAGTCCGGGTAAGGCAAAGCAAAGGAAAGAAGCAGGCGTGCGCGTGCCCGCCGCGAACGCGCCTCCGCCCCCTCTTTGCTCGCCCCGCGCAGGCCTCGAAGCGGGGAGGGTGGTTTCTTCTGCCGCACGGCTCTCCTTGTTGAGGGGTTTGCCGTTTTCAGCACCGGGGACAGCGCCAATGAAGCCTCTGTTCGCAACCAACCCACTCCTCAGCCCGCCCCCTTATGCTGCAGTAAAGCACCCCCTCTCATGGCAATTGTGGTTAGCTTGTCTCCCTCCCTCTCCATCTTATTACGATAAGTATAGCCTTTTGGTCTAAGAAAACATGATGTGGGTTGCACAAGATGCAACTTAGAAATTGCCTGGCTTTCAAAGCTCCTTCTTCCCCTCCATCATCCCCTACTCCAGTGATTCAAGGAGTATCTTGGAGGAGGAGGAGTTTGCTGGTTGCTTTGTACATGCTAATTTTTAAAAATCATATGTGCTGGTGCTGAAGGAAACGGTTTTGAGGAGAAATGGAAAGGAGAAGCTCCCACTACTGTTTTCTGCTTTCCTGAAATTCTGACTAAGCCATCTCTCTGAAGTGGCACACACCCACATATACAAATAGGAGATGCAGTTAAATATGGTTCTAAACAAGCTAACTGCCAGATTTTTGGGGTCTGCATTAAAGTTAATGAAAATGCTGAAAGGTTCACAAAGCATGTCACCACTTTGGATTGCATATATAAGAAATTAATTCTTTATATTGAAAGTAATAGGAGATATTACCAATTGCTATTTATATGTCAAAAAGTTCATCAAAGGCCACAATAGAAAAAAAGGTTATGTTCCAGGCCAGAATTAGTTATCAGAACAATAATTTAGAGCACTTATTCTTAAAGAGGAGTTAATTACGCCTAAAGGCATAATTTGAGCCCATCCTGGAGGTAATGGAGCAATTTGTAATTGCTTGTTTGTGAATTGAGAATCCACTTTGGAACTGTTCTGCTTGTGCGAAACAAAACCTTTTTTTTCGGTGGGGGGGTTAATTTTATTTACTAATAAATTGGGTTATGACATTATTTGAGACCAGAGAAAAAGGTAATTGGGTCAAACAGTGTAAGCAGCTCTGTTTTAGAGCAAGGAGAAGAACACCTTTAACAGTAGCAATGTAATTTTATTGTGTTTGAATTTTAGGGCAAATCCACAAACTCTATACTATTCCTGTTAAAAAGACTTTTATATTTTATTCCTAAATACCAAATAAGATATCTCTGTGTACCAATTTATTATGGTCCCTATGGCTTCTTAACAATGATGATGGAGCTTATCCTTTGTTTTCCTTGTCTTACAACATTTAGCTTCACTTTCCATTTTTAAAAATTTAAAATATAAGAGGTTCAACTTTTTGTTTTTCCTAATGTATTTGAATTTGCTTCACCTCCTAATGTGACTTTTTGTTTCAGATTTTAATGCAGATTGGCAAGAATATCTACCAGTTATTTTCAAATAACAAGAAGAAGAGGAGGAGGAGGAGGAGGAGGAGATGGAGGAGGAGGAAGAAAAAGAGAAGAAGAAGAAGAAGAAGAAGAAGAAGAAGAAGAAGAAGAAGAAGAGAAAAGAAGAAGAAGAAGAAGGAGAAGGAGAAGAAGGAGGAGGAGGAGGAGGAGGAGGAGGAGGAGGAGGAGGAAGAAGAAGAAGAAGAAGAAGAAGAAGAAGAAGAAGAAGAAGAAGAAGAAGTGATTGAAAGAGTTACAGTACAGACATTTAACCCAGCAATATTCCCACCTTCCCTTAAGGCTGTGGAGAAAGTCCCTTGTGATGGAGGGGGCCTCAATGGGCCATAACCTTATCTCTTTTACAATCTACTAGAACAAATGAGCCTCACAAGCAGTTTACACTAAACTGTTTTTATTTACATAAAATAAAACAAGGTCTATTCAAAAAGAATATTAGATGTCATTCTCTTTCTTAAGTGTCCTGTCAGCTCTCTGGTGCAATCGCTCTATGTGATTGGAGTTTGGGCTTTTCTTCCTCAGAAGGAAGAGGCTTTAGTGACTTCAGCTCTGCCTCTGATCCTGAAGAGAAGAGAATGTCTGCTGGAAAGCATCTCCTTTTATACTGTCACAATGGCAGTTAGGGGAGGGCATAGAAAAGCCTGGGAGATTCAAAGTCAGGAGCTGCTCTCTGATTGGCTTATTTAATTGTCTAAGTCAAAGGCCATTAATAGGCACAGCAACTGTGAGGGAATTTTTCTCTCACATCCCTAATGGCTGTTCTTATGCTTAGTGCAGCCATCACAGTTATGAGCAAACTGTCCAAAGTGCACTCATGTTATCTATGTGCAAGCAAGCTTCAATTTCAAAAAGCAAAAAAACAAACAAACATAAGCTTAAACTGCCTCCAGTTTGCAAGAAGCTTGAACATGTTTTTTGTCTGTCCCTGACCACCAAATGGAAAGACCCCCCTCAAACATTGGATGATGGGTGGGCTATGACAACTTGATAGTTTGGTATATTTTTCTTTGTCATATTTGCGCATTTTCAAAGTCAATTTGTTCAATACTTTTACTGAATAACCTTGTGTCTCTTATTTTGAAAATACTTTTTCAAGATTTTATCTCTCTAAATGTGTTTCAGATTCTGGTAATGAAAAAGAAAATTCTCCTTTTCCTTGGAGGTTATATATCTGAACCATGAAACTCAAAACAGATTTTAGTTCTAAGTGCTAATGAATCTTCATCAGAATTAAAGTTTTTTTTTTCAATTAGCTAAAATAATAATTTAACTAGTGGCATATCAGTCCTGAAAATTTATATTCATGACTCTTTATTTCAAGATGGATTTCTCAAAACAGATTAATGCAAGATATAGTTCCATTGAAATTAATAAGATTTTCATTAGAACAGTTTAGGGTCAGATTCAAAATTCCTTCTGCATGTAATAAATAATCTGAGTCTTTAGTTCCTGTGAATACTATATTATTTAGTCATTCTGTTGTCATTTTATTTACAGTATCTTAACATGAGCAGTTTGGGAGAACTACCAATCAAGTATCTACTTATTTACATATTTATTTGTTTATTTAAGATATAAACAAGCTCTTTATATTGTGAATCAGCCAGTTTTTTTCACCTACTATAAGGTTAAAAGAATAACAGATCAAAGACAAAGTACAGTTGTTTTCTTATGTTTGGTAATTTCCATTTTCGTAATTATATCCAGATTAAGAAAAGAATTCCACCGTAATGAAATCTCTCACAGAATAGTAAATCACACACACACAATATATATAAACCTGATGTACTGAACAACTCTGTTTTTTTATTTTATTTTATTTTAAATTTGATTTATATGCCGCCCTTCTCTGGAGACTCAGGGCAGCTTACAATGCATTAAGTAATAGTCTTCATATTTTTGTATATTTATACAAAGTCAGCTTATTGCCCCCACAAACTGGGTCCTCAATTTACCTACCTTAGAAAGGATGGAAGGCTGAGTCAACCTTGAGCCTGGTGAGATTCGAATTTACAGTAATTGCAGACAGCTGGTGTTAATCACAATGCTATCAATCTGCTGAGCCACCAGGCCCATGTTGCATATTAAACTTGGGTTAATTTACTTGGGTTAATTTATTCTGTGTAATAATGTAGATTAGATTATTGATTGGAGTAACTAGGTTTAATTTCACATATCATTTTATAGCTTCATGGATACAATGAGCAAATGGGCTTCCTTTTCATCATAGTACACCTTCCAGATAACAAGGATATATCTTTAATCATAAAGAATATTACAGGAGACTTTTTTTCAGTTATCTGTGGTTTTACTGTCTCCTTCTCACAATTATAGCACTCTTCATGTGTGCTTGAACTGAGTTTCATGCCTGGCTATTTTTTTACCTATTTGATAAACAGATAATCAAGGCGAAAATAAATAAGAGCATCCATATTAATTCACAAATAAAAGCAGATCCAAGGTGACCAGTTTTAGCAACAAAAATATTGTAGGTAAGGAGAACTTAATCTCTCAGATACACACAATCTTCATTTGCCCAGTTTGGATAAAAAAATGAAACATTATATATTTTGAATATAGAGTAGACATATTATAGATTTGCAGGTTCAAACCACTGCAGGTATTTGGGGGAAATAAAACCTTTTGGGGAAGAATAGACTCAGTCACAATAGACAATACTTTGTTATATTCTCAAATGGTTTAATTTAGTTTAATTTTGGTATCAGAATTAAAATGTTGTAAAGCAGGAATAAGTTTTACTGCATCTTCCGCTGCATACCTTTTGTTCCAAACAATTTTTCCTTGGTTTATATATAAATAAGGAAAACATATGAGCAGTGAATATCACTGCCTTCATCATGTTTGTATTGACATATGTTAGATAAATAAATGTATCACCTCCTGACAGTACTTGATTAATGTAGACAATCGCCGGGAAAAAAATAGGAATGGTATGCCAATATACTTTAGAAGTATTCGCAAGCTGACTCTTAACAACATTTGCTTTATTAAATCCATATTTCAACCAGCATGATTCTTCAGCTTTCTATTGTGGTGTAATAATATGGATGTATTATCTTTCAAACAATGTAACATCTTTGTTTTTTGTTAAGTTTAGTTTCAAATTCTTTGAAAGAGTTTAGGAAAGATATTCTAAGCAAATTATGAAATTTTATTTATTTTTAAAATACCTGTCATCTGAAAACTTTTAAGGCCTAAAAATCAAGGCAAACATTAGAAGCTTAAAATAATATTGGTAGCTTTGTTTATAGCAGTGCCATTTTCTGAATCATTTTTGCCCATGAAACATATTATAACTCTGTTGATGTTTAGGTACCCAATAGGTGTTAATATCTAAAAATTTATCCTAGTATTGTATTAATTAAAGACCAGTGATTGTGTTATAGATATTGTAGGAAGAGAGCTGTATTCATCTATGATGGCAAAAAATCAAGAATCTGGCAGCATCTTCCCCAACTAAAGTTTTTATTAAAAAGCACAAGCTTGCATGAGCTCAAGCAATTTTCATCAGATACTGTACATAGAGTGGTAAAGCTGAAACAGGTTTTA